GGAATATAAATGTTGGGAATCTCCTTTCCAGGTTCACTTCTTCCATTGCTGATCTGCCCCACAGAAAGCCTCACAAGGGTCACCTCCAGAGCTTATCGAGACTATGCCAACATTATTTAACACCTGATAATTTGAGCCTCTTCCCCTCCCAACTACTATAAGAGTGTATCCTGAAAACACCTTCCGTTTGCACATCCCTGCAGTTTTGGCTAGAAGTACGGGGTTTTCAGGCATCTAGAGTTTCCAAAGTCGCACAGGAACAGTGAGATCAGGAAGCAAGATTAAACTTGCATAGTTTAATGTCAGCTTTCACTTCAGGAGCCACCTACCTGACCTCTAGCCCTGCCTCAGTGTCTTCACGCAGAGCCTTTCTGACTTGCAAGGGTCATAGTCACACTTGAAATTCTTGAGTTCCAGCCAACTTGCAAACCCTGAAACTGAACAATGTTGGCTGCAGAATTCTGAGTTCAATGCTCTCATATCTATCCTGGATCAATGTTCTCAGCTCCTCTAGGTCAGTTTCTAAGGAGATAACACCCCTTGACCATTTCATTGGTAACCTTCAGCTATTTTACTGAGATACTTGCCACAGGGACATACTCTGGGGCTCTGCCTGGGTCTCTCCATTGGTAACTCGAGCTCACTATCCCAGATTGATTTCAGCTGGATGTAACTCCCAGTTCTGCTGACCTTTTGTCTGCTCTAGCAGGGCTAACTCCAGTCATCTCTGCTGGATGCTGGGAGCACCCAACACAATGTTTATGGTTCTCTGGTGATTCAGCTTTCACTTGCTGTATACACAATTGAAGACAGATAGCAGTTCCTAAAACATGCAGAAATGGCTTCCATATTTTTAAACATTTCATCCATTTAAACAGGTTACATGGAAAACACTGGGGCTGCCCACATGGGGATGGCACTAGAGATTTCCATAAACTATTTACATGGTAAAGAGCAGAGTAGTGCTTGTACTGAAACAGAATATAAAATGTCATGTGACAAGCTGTGCTGACTAGTTTTACCAGCAACACACACGTTAGACTCCATTTGAAAGATGGAGCAGACCATAGAGACATATGAGATCCTAGTGCTTCCTGGCATTACCCTCGAAGTTCAACCCTAGAGAGGAGAACAGAATTGCATCAGAATCAGCTCCAGCACCACCTCTGCCTCCATGAAAGCCTACTCCCATAATGGACTTAAACTCTGAGCTATCCAAGTCACAAGACACATACCGACTGCCATAGCTGAATCTTTGAGGATTCTCAGAATGGCTTCCAACCTCAGAATCATTTAAAACCCAGTCATAAGAAAATTACCCTGTAGGGTTAGGCAGCATTGAGTTATTCCAAGCCAGGGTTCTCCTGTACAGTGGGAAGATCTAACTTCAATTTCTCAGCTCAACAATTCCGCAAATGACAAAAGCTGTGCAAAGGATGATTTGCAAACCCTCTGGAAGATGTACACCCCCTGGTTGCAGCAAGAGAAGCAGGGCAAGGAGCAGATTATTTCTCAGCTGGACTTAGATCAGTTTCTCAAAACTAGGTGCTGCAATGACAAGTTTGCATTGGAAGAGAAGTGGGAATCAAGTGGCAGAAACAAGGGGAGATTCCTGAAGATTTGATATATGAAGGCTTGAAGCCTCCTATTATGGTTCATGTCTCCATGGAGGAAGAAAAGGCCTCTTTCCTGAGCATATGTCATTAAAAGTCTGCAGGCTCCTGAGAGAAATGCAATCAGCAACACCAACACAAGAGTGCAAGGCCACACTTGCAGATCCACCTAGACATGTCATTGGCAACAGACAGTGAAGATGGCTACAGCAATTCCTTGAACTTTAGCAAAGGAAATGGTGGTATTAGGAGTCCTGGAAATGAGATGGACTCCTTTTCATCATCCCAAAAGATAAGTGTCCTGAGCCCAAGGAGGCAGGCATTTCTCATGGAATCCCTCAGGCTAAAAGAGCAAATCAAGTCACCTCCAGGTACCAAGAAGTCTCTCAGAGGGCATCTTCTTCTGAAGTTGTCCCTAAGGAGGCAGCTCAACCAGAGATTATCGTCCCTAAGGAGGAGGTACAACAAAGATCATCTTCAGGCCAGAGCAGACTGAAGACTGCCAGATCATAGGGCAAACTGCACATATGAGTCACCAATGAGAGACTCCAGACAGGCTCAGACAAATGTATGAGGAATGTAATACCTTGAAATACCCCTTCTAGTCTTTTAGAAGAGAGAATACACAAGGAGATGCCACTTTTTCTGTACCAAGTATAGTAAAGGCTTCTACAATCAGGCCTGAAAGTACATTTGGCCAAACACCACAAAAAGCCTTTCACATGTAGTACATGTAGGAGGTCTTTCAGCCATGAAACCAATGCAGGCTCATGAGATTCACACGAGAAGCCCTACACTTGCTCCCTGTGTTACCCCTGCCAGTTCTCCACATACCACAGGCACTGGAGGAACTGGCAGAAATTAGACCGAGCTGTGTCCTTCCTAAACAAGGTATAGCTGGCTTTACGTCAGTGTGCCACCTGCATATGAGACATGCAGTTTCTAAAGAGCAAGTAGCCAGTGAATGTGACATGTAACTTTATTCTTCTATCACGTGTCACCTTCCATTGCCATGTTGAGGTGAAAATAAGTCATTCCTGTGTGTTCGCTAACATTTTCTTGGTTCTCTGAACCCTACCTTGCATTTCCCTTGATTTAGTCTTCTGATCAAGACAGATTTCTGTTCTCTAGGCTACTCGTGTTTGGAGTTCATTGGTTATGGTTTCCCTTGACAACCTATATTCTTGCTTATTCACCTGCAGACCTACAACTCATTTCCCCTTGGGTGGATTTCCACTCATTGGAAGTAGATCAGATTTTACCTGCTAGCAGCAGGCAGAGCTCAGTATAAGTATAGTTACCTTTCATCTATCTTCCCCTAGGCAATCTAAGGGGCAGAGTCCATGCCTCTTTTTAGGAAAAAGGAATAGAGAAGCCTGGTGGAGTATCCAAGTTTCAGAATCCCTTCTCCATGGAAGCTGAGGTAGCCCTATATAGTGCTTTTGGAAGGAATAGGCCTTGTTCCTGTTCATTCAGATATGGAGTAGGGAGAAAGCTAACAGTAAAGGCTTTAGGAGCAGCCACCCAGAAAACAAGGTCAGGGTTATCAGGCAGGAGCTCGGATCCAGCACCTGGGAAAAGGGCTGGGCTAATTCTGCAGGAAAGGTATGAAGGAGCACCCCCACAAACATGCAAATGTCCTATGGCATAGGTTTCCCAATCACGATCAAGATGAAAGCACAGTGCTAATTAGGCATGCAAGTCAGGGTAGGCTAAGGTCCATATAAGCACACTTCTATAGAAGCAGTCTCCATGCAACCAGCAATGGGTTTTCCTGTGACCCTGCAATATAGTAATCCATATAGTAATCACAGGGCCAAGTCTTCATACCGTGAGAACATCCAGACCACACACACCAGTCCCCAGAACCAAACATTACAACCAGATATGTGATCACACATCTAGGAGCTAGGAGGCCTAGATTTTCAGCCTAAATTGGAAGAAATTAGAATAGCAGAACCTTTTGGCTTGAGTGCTACTAACACTGGACTTGGTTGAATAGATAAAACTGAAGTTTACCATCAGTTCCAATGTACTGGGCTTCCCTGTGGCTGAAGCAACAACAGATCTAACACTAACTGAACCCTAGCTGCAGACCACTTGTGGCCTCTGAACTTGGACAAGTCAAAACCGGATCTGTTGCTGCTGCCTCCAATGTATAAAGACAGTGGTAAGCCGAGTGTGGTGCCATGCTTTTAATCCCAGCAAAACTCAGGAGGCAGAGGCAGGAAGATCTCTAAATTTGAAGCCAGCATGGTCTACAAAGCAAGTTTCAGGACAGTCAGGGTTATACAGAGAAACTCTGTTATCAGTAAGAAAGTTTACTCAGACACTACATACAGTCAGTGCCCAAAGCTAGCTCTTAAATCATGGCCCGAATAAGAAGGCAGGGAAAAAATGAAACACGATTGTCCCCTGGCCTCAGGGTTATCACCTGGTGCAGCATAACCAGATGAAGGTTAATGCTCCTGAGCTTCGTTTCTTAATCAGAAGGGCAGACCCATAGCTACTACAGGACAACTTCCCTCAATGGTTGTGGGACACATGAGTAGATCTCACCAAGTCACTCAAAACAAGGTTTGCCAACTGCAGTAGCTAGCCATCAGCCAAACCTCACTGACTTTGCATGTACAGAAGTAGTACACCATGTTTGTCTCCTGGATATTTTATGACTGAAGACTGCTCCCCTGCAAAACTGCTACTATGGAGATTAGCTCAACTCACTTCCCTGGCCCAGCGGTACATACAAATACCCTGAGCTTCCACTTGGGCTCTGTGGCTCCTGTCAGAGAGCCCAGGCTACCCCCAGCTTTTTGCCGTTTGTTTTCTTCATTCTCTTACTACCCCCACTCAGGTCCATCCATGAAGTTGAGCTGACTATGGCAAGAAGTACACCTCTTGTGAAGAAATACTGGCAAGGGGCTAATATTCATGGCAAAAACGTCCCCCCCATTCAGATCCAACAGTTTCAGTTAAGAACTCTTCCAATAAAGGATAACTTCAGACTTATTGATTGTGCTCTCATATTCCAACCTACTCAGGTATCCATTAAGAATCAGATGCAGGGGAAATATTAGCAAGTAAAAGTGTTTGAAGCCTCCTCTCTCCCCTACACTAGAGATTCCTGCATGATTCTAGTTTGTTTAGATTCTCAATATGGAATACTAGTGTTTGGAATCTTTCTAGGTTGACTCCTCCCATTCCAGACATGCCCCTTAGAAAGACTCCTAGGGGTTAACTCTTCCAGAGATGATCAAGAACATGCCAAATAAGGTATTTAACACTTGATCAGGAGACCAGCCACATTCTCTACCCTCCTGCATTCCAGAGAGTCAACCAGCAGAGCTATTCTTTGCTCTGTATACTAAGTCTGGATTTGTTAATTCAGTTTGATTTGGCTTAGCAGATGCACCCAATATTTATCACGGAGGTCTTCCCACAAGGTCAGTAATAATTCACTCTTTTCCAAGAATGGCTTAAGCATGGTTTTAAATAGTCAAGTCATCTAACAAGCTATAGACAGGGATTTTGCTCATCAACCACTACCTGGCAAGGAATAAGCTTTATGTCTAGAGTCAAGGCTTCAATACTTGAACCCAACAGAATTCCACGTCTCATACACACCACCCTTCAGCCTCACTCTTGTCAGGGCTCCTTTTCTGAAAGTCCTTGTCAGATACCCTGCTCAAACTCAGGAAGAATTTGGCCAGAAGTATCACTTTTGAATCCACCAATTACACATACCTTCCAAAATAAGCCATGACTGTAGAATCCTGGGGGGACCAAGCAGGTAGAGGTACTACAGCCCAGGTATCCATAGACTGCACTAGCCTTCCCCATCTGTCTGGTGGAAGGTGTTTGAATATTTAGTCTCTCTTCAGTGTTATTCTGCATCTGTACTGGGAGCCTCAACCCAAGGATGGGTACTTTAGTCTGAAAGGGCATTCTTCATAGGCAGGATTAATACAAGGCATGTATCAACTTGGAAGGTATTTGCAGAGCACTCTAGCAATGTGTCCTATCCTAGGCACAATCCGGAACGTCTCCAAGGTTCAGGAATATTTCTGTGCACACTGATAAGGGAATCACCTCTACAGAGTCCTGGGGTAGGAGGGGGACATCCTCAGACCACAAGATATCCACCTCCTACCCCAGGAACCATCCTTATGCAGCAGTCCAGCCCTAAACAGCCAGCTAGTGAAACCAAATAAGCCTGGGCTCAGTGCACACAACCTTATACACAAAGAACATGGCTTCCTTCCAGGTGTGTCAGTTGTACTACCCGAGGACACTAAGGTGACAAGTAAACATACTTAAGTTCTATTTGGTATAGAGACATTCTAGCACTCCTATGGCTGGAGATTGTAAAGCATTCTTAGGTCCCAAACACTACAAAGAAAGGAAACATTTGTTCCCAATCCAGAAACTTTGATTCTCCCCAGTCCCTTGTCTATCAGCTACACTTAAGGCATGACTTTGACCTGGAAGGACAGAAGCCATGAAGATCACAAGCTTACCTGCTGTCATGAGCACCAATTAGTTCATATTCTTAGGTTGTCCCACTCCAAAAGGAGCACACCAACCCTACAGGACTATTTAGCCTCCTTCCCTCCCAACTACAACTAAGTATATCCTGAAAACACCTTCCATTTGTGCATCTCTACAATTTGCTTAGGAGTAAGGCATTTTCAACATAGAGCTTGCAAAGTAGCACAGGAGCATCGTTCAGGATACAAGAAAAACTTGCATTGTTTCATGTCAGCTTTCACTTCAGGAGCCACGTACCTGACCAAGCCCTGCCTCAGTGTCTTCATGCAAAGCCTTTCTGCCTTGGAAGAGTCAGTCACACCTGTTTCTGCCTATTAGAGGTGGACTTCTCCCAGGACCATGGAGCTGACAGGTCAAAATCTTTCCCAGGAAAAGGATAGCCCAGAACTACACTACAAAGAGTATTGGTATTTACTATACATGGTATTTTCATAGAGACAAATCATCCGGTTCCTTTAAGGGATAATTGAGTTGTCCTGAACAACCTCAGGCACCAGGATTTCAGGCACTTGCTGGAATATACCATCAAGTCTTCAGCCCCTCTATGCCCAACACACCCTTTCCTTGCCACGACCCCTGCCTCTGGAATCACTCCAAAACCCATGAAAGAACTCCATTGATGGCATCACATTCCAATATTAATACCAGACATGGGTCACAGGCACCTCGTTTGTAACATCCCCCTCACAGGTTGGTCCATGAAGCCTTGCTAGGCCAGTGTCTTCATGCTGCTACAGGGCTGTGGTCAGCTCCTACAGAAGACAGAAAATACGTTTCACTGTCAGGTTGAAGAAACTAAACTGTTGAGGGGATGAGAGAGGCCTTGTATGCAAGAGACATTCACCCTTCTTCGGGGCCCTGGGATCCTAATATATGCCTGGCTGTAGAGAGCTGCGAAGTGCTGCACCCTTAAGATGGCGCTGGCTTCCGCCTTCTGCTAGCCAGACAGCAGGTGCTCTCTGATGAACAACTCCTTAAGAGCCCCACCTGGATTTGGTTAAGGCTGGATATCAGGTCCACATACACGGAAGCAAGCCTATCTGCATGTTCCACGTGGCATACTGGGGTCGGCCGCCCAAGGGTTTTTAAGCTGTGGGCGGGCACTCCCCGGGGTCAGAAGATTGTTCAAGGTTCCTGAATAAACTGCTTAAAGAGTCCGAGCATTGCGTCTTCCTTGCTGGTCGAGGCAGTCGCCACAAGTGGTGGCCCGTATGGGGACCCTTTCTAATCGACTCAACTTTCTGCAGTCAGGGCAGCGCGCTGGTAAGTTCCCAAGGTAAGGTGGGGTAAAAAAAGGGACCTCGACAAGAGTGGGTTGGTTTGCTCTTCTCTGTAGGTAAAGAGTGGGACAAATGGTTCGCAGAGCAGCAAACTGAAAGTAAAAGCTTAAATGAAACATTGTTTAGCTATGGGCCCTTCTCCATCGCACCCAATTTTTTTGGCTCTGAATGAGCTGCTTTGTTCCACTTTAGAGAGATTTTTGGAAACACTCAGAGGCAGTGTTTGGCCTGTCTGGAGACTAGTGAAAAGTTGCCTTGAGGATCAGAAGTGTAGTGAGGTGGTTGAAAAGGGGAGAAATGCTTTAGAACAATTACAAGAGGAGAGATCAGAGCAGGCAAACAAAAGGGAGGAAAACAAGATTTACCCAGCTCTAGAAGATCTAGAGGACTCAGTCTATGGACTCCGAGGAGAATGAGGAGGATGAGGAGGAACTCCAAGCTCTCATAAAAGTTAGAGATGACCAAGCTCAGGAAAAGGGAAAGAGGAAAAAGAATACCATAGCGGATAGTGAGATGAAGGGCTGTTGCAGACCTACTGCTCCACCGCCATACCCAGAAGTGGAACAGCCTACTCAGGGTTCATGCTCTGGATGGTCCTTTTGTCCGGGGACATGGAAGCAAACTCGTACGAATTACGGCTTGCTTACCCTGTGTTCCAAGATCAGCAAGGACAGATATCATGAGCCACTGGATTTTAAGATAGTCAAGTCTTTGGCCTAGTCAGTTTGTTTATGGCATAACAGCTTCCTTTACACTGGTTGAGGCTTTTTTTTGGTTTTACGAGACAGGGTTTCTCTGTATTGTTTGAGGCTGTCGGTCCAGCCCGGCCTCGAACTCAGAGATCTGCTTCTGCCTCCCAAGTGCTGGGATTAAAGGTATGCACCACCACCTCCCAGCTCAGGTTGAGGCTCTTGACACTGCATGACATCTAGTGATTGGAGCAGTTTGGCTGGCGCATGTTTAAGCCCAGGGCAGTATTTGGATTGGAAAGCCTTTTTAATTGAATTTGCCAACGAGCAAGCTGCCGCTAATCAGGCTACGGGAAATCAACATTGGGATAGGCATATGCTACTTGGACAAGGTAGATTTGCAAACACGCAGACAGGATATCCAGTACAGGTGTTTGAACAAGTAAATCAGATAGACATTAAGGCTTGGAAATCATTGCCAAATAGAGGAGTGGCAATCTTACCAAGATTTTGCAAGGCCCTATAGAACCTTTTTCAGACTTTGTAGCAAGGCTAGTGGAAGCTGCTGTAAGGAGTTTTGGGGACCCAGATACGGCCATGCCACTTAAGCAATTAGTCTATGAACAATGTACCAAGGAATGCCGAGCGGCCATTACGCCTTACAAGAAAAAAGGCCTAGAGGCATGGATGAAAGTCTGCCGAGAATTAGGTGGACCCTTAAATCTTCCAGCAGCTGTGGTTCAGTTGACACGAAACAAAAGAGAAAGTTCACGTGCCTGCTATAAATGTGGTAAACTAGGAAAACTAGGATACCTTAAGAGGCAATGCCCTGAAAGAAATAGTGCAGGCAATGCAGAAAGCAGCCAGCACCCCCGAATGCCGGGGGTTTTTCCTAAGTGTAAAAAAGGAAAACATTGGGTGAACGAGTGTCGCTCTGTCAAAGACATTAACGATCAACCCTTAACTCAAAACCATCAAAAACCATGGTGGTGCCTGTCCAAAAAACGGTCAGCAGGGCCCCGTCCCCAGGGCCCACAAATATGAGGCGATGGAGGATCCACACAACAAGAGCCAGGAAAGATGGCCTACCCTTCGTCATCCAAGGGACCACGGAGAGCCACTACAGGCTCTGCAGGATTGGACCTCTGTTCCACCACTAGACTCGTACTGACCCCTCAAATGGGAACTCAATTAGTTGAAAGATTTTCAGGGACCTCTTGAACCTAATACAGTTAGACTCTTGCTGGGGCGTTCGTCGTCTGCTCTGAGAGGATTGATAGTTCACCCGGAAGTGATTGATCCTGATTATACCGGGATAGTAAAAATCATGGTTTCTGCTCCGAGAGGGGTAGTTGCTATTTCTCCTGGGGATAGAATAGCTCAGCTACTTGTGTTGCCCAGCCTTCATGGTAGATATGCCTCTAAAAGAAAAACCTGATGCGAACAAGGATTTGGATCCTCAGGAACAGATTTGACATTTTTGACTCTAGATTTGGACCAAAGACCTGTACTAGAGCTTGTATTAGATGGAAGGAAAATACTTGGTCTTTTAGATACAGGAGACCACAAGAGCATAGTTCCAAGGAAGGACTGGCCTTCAGGCTGGCCAATACAAGCCTCTTCTCAGACCCTACAAGGCTTAGGTTATGGAAAAACTCCTGATATGAGTGCGAGACAGCTAAACTGGAAAGATCAAGAGGGCCATTCTGGAGTTATACAATGCTATGTTTTGGAACTTCCCATTTCCCTATAGGGAAGGGACCTTTTGAAGGATATGGGCTTTAAGTTAAGCAATGAATATTCTCTTACTTCACAAAAATTGATGCAGGATATGGGTTATCACCCTGGGTTTGGATTAGGGAAGTTTCTGCAAGGGTGCAAAGATCCTATGGATACCCAGCAAAGAAAAAATAGACAAGGCCTTAGTTTTTCCATGGGGGCCGCTGAGGAAGCAGTTCCTATTACATGGAAGACAGAGGAGCCTGTATGGGTTCCTCAGTGGCCACTTTCCTCTGAAAAGTTGAGTGCTGCAAAAAAATCTCGTGGCCGAGCAGTTGTCTTAAGGACACATTAAGTCATCCATATCGCCCTGGAATACACCCATTTTCGTAATTAAAAAGAAATCTGGAAAATGGTGTCGATTACATGATTTAAGAGCCATAAATCAAATGCAAAATATAGGGCCAGTGCAGCGAGGGCTACCACTGCTATCATCCTTGACGGCCTCCTGGCCCTTAATAGCCATTGATATTAAAGATTGTTTTTTCTCCATTCCTTTATGTGCAAAGGATAGTGAAAGGTTTGCCTTTACTGTACCATCATGTAATCATGAAGAGCCTAATAAACGATTTGAATGGGTGGTTTTACTGCAGGGAATGGCAAATAGCCCTACTATGTGTCAACTTTATGTCGGAGAGGCTATTGCGCCATTAAGACATTTTGCTAGCTGCAAAAAATGAACAAATTTTGGATCAAGCCTATATATAGATTTAGTTTAATTGAAGAAAAATTTGTTGCCCCTGAAAAGGTTCAATTCAAAAGAAACAAATTGTAGACTATTTAGGAGCAAGAGTAAGTGAAAAAAGGATTGTTCCTCAAAAGGTTGAATTACGAATAGATGATTTAAGGACTTTGAATGATTTTCAAAGGTTACTGGGAGACATTAAATGGATTAGGTGCTATTTAAAATGACCTAATTATGAGAAAAAAACATTAAATGATATTTTGGTTGGGGATTCTGCCATAGATTCTCCTCGTATATTGACAAAGGAAGCTAGACAAGACTTACAAAAGATAGGTTACAAGAGATGCGTTTTTGAAACGCTTAGATAACCAACCTATTACTTTGTCTTTTTCCAACTTTTACAACCCACGGGGCTGTTATGGCAAGGAGGACCGTTATGGATTTATCCGAGGATGTCGGCCACAAAATCCATTGAACATTATCCCACCACAGTGGCTAAGTTAGCCTTGATTGGTATTCAACAATATTTACAGTTTTGGGGTTTCCCCCAAGACAATTATAGTGTCGAATACCATTGATCAAGTGACAGTCCTTTGTGGCAATATTATGGTGTGGGTTTGAGGGGGATATTGATAATTATCCCAAACATCCTCTATTAAACTTTAAGGAACATCCTGTTTTCCCTAAGGTTACTTCGCCAGTTCTTCATGGTGCCCCAAATGTATTTACGGATGGTTCCAAGACAGGCTGTGGAGTTTATTTGGTAGAAAGACATGAGCCTTATTACGTCAATTCCAACCAGGATCTCCAAGTTATGGAGTTAAAAATTGTGTTAGAAGTATTTAAGGCCTGTCCTTTTGCCTTTAATATCTGATTCAGAGTATGTGGTTAATGCTGTAAAAATTTTGGAAGTGGCGGGACCCATAAAACCTAGTAGTTCAGTCTGCCTCTTATTACAAGATTTACAAAATTTGATTTGGCAAAGACGTAATTGTTTTTATGTACAACATATTAGAACACATACAGGTCTCCCAGGACCTTTGAGTGAAAGCAATAATAGAGTTGATCAATGGACCAGAATACATTTTTCTCAGTTCTACCTTGGAGGGAGCAAAACAATTCCATAAGACCTTTCATTTGAATGCGAAAACCTTACAAAAATTAACTTTCTCGAGCGGATGCTCGACAAGTGGTTTTGGATTGTCCTCGGTGTGTGGTTCATCATCATCCACCTAGTCTTGGAGTAAACCCTAGGGGCTTACTTCCAAGTTTTGGCAAATGGATGTCACACATATCCCTGAATTCAGGAATCTCAAATA